GATTTTCTCAATATTTTGATTTTTTTGCACCCTCAGATTCCAGATTTTCAAATAGTTGTATCTCAGCCAAATATTGTCCTATCAAAACATACATCAATGGAAAGCTTATTTATTCAGCTTTCAGATGATGTATAAATCTCATTTTCTTAAAATTTACTCTTATGACTTATTTTGTGGTCCACAAATGGTTCTTCTATGGCAGGGGTGGCGAACGTCGGTCCTGTAGAGCCGCAGCCCTGCAGAGTTTTGCTTCAACCCTAATCAAACACACCAGAACAAGCTAATCAAGGTCTTCAGGATCACTAGAAAGTTATAGGCAGGTGAGTTTTATCAAGGTTGGAGCTAAACCCTGCAGGAACGTGGACCTTGAGGGCTAGTAGGAAGCTACAGGCAGGTGAGTTTTAATTAGGGTTGGAGCTGAACACTGCAGGGCTGCGGCTCTCCAGGACCGGAGTTCGCCACCGCTGTTCTATGGCATCGCTGTGAAGAACCTTTTAAGCACCTTTATTTTTAAGAGTGTATTAAACACCACTAATAATCAAAACTCCATATGTCAAAATGAAAACATTCTAGTTTGCAAGCAGCAAATGCACTGAAGACTGAGAAAGAATTGATAGTGCCATTAAACACATCTGCAGTTCTGTGTTGTTCATGTTAAAGAGAGGCTAAATTGCGGCGATTATGTGAAAGGTTGATAATCTGAGAAGCAGACGGTCTCTGGGGGGAGTGAGTCTAATCTGCTGGAGGACACAGTCCGACAATCATGTTGCATAATTATCCATGAGGATTACAAACATGCTAATTTCACACCCAAATGCACATATACTTAACACAAATGTACACCAGTCAAATGTTTGGACACACTTCAGTGAATTTATTCTTTTTATTTCTTATTTTAGCTTTCTATTTTCACTTTAATTTTAGTTACAGTTTTAGAAATTTTGTTCGTTTTTTTTTTTGTCATTTTCTTTAGTCTTTGGGTTTAATTTAAACATTTTTATTTAGTAGTATTAGTATATAACGAAAATGAGAAATGTTGCCTTGACAACTATAGCTGAAATAGTTTTTGAAAATTATTTTATATTTTATTTTAGTTCAGTTTTTTAAAATCATTTTTTGTATGATTTTAGTTTTAATTACAGTTAAGTATAAGAACTGAGCTGTGCACTTTAGGTCAGTGAAAAAGAAATAGAATAAAACAGACAATATATGGACTTGTTAATACCTGGTTCAGACTACACGATATTTGTGTCATTCACGATACTCACTGTGTCAGATCACACGATTTTGACTCCTAAAATCTTGTCGTGCCGTGGACAAGAAACATGTCAGACTACACGTTGCTTCCCGACCATTCATCGTGTGCCGTCTTTAAGACCATTAGATCTAAAGATTTATGTTAATATGATAAATACAAATAATTATAAATAAATAGGAATCATGTCAACTGATTTATGAATTTTTTTACAAAGCTAATTTAATTTAATTTAATAACAAGAAGAAAACAAATGCTTAGCATTCAATATATGGATATAATGGTTTTAAAAGGATAACAAGTTGCACTTCATGAAGATGGAATCTAGATGAAGCAACCATTTTTATAATTTCATATCGTTTTTCATGATTTTACTATTATTTTCAAATGTAATAATAAAGAAAGAGGAACAGCGATCATCAGTCATTTTCCAAGAATTCAGACGGTTGTGTGATGTGGCTCAGTAGTTTGATGTGTGTGCCCATGCAGACTGTGTGCTGAACTGGTCTGAATGGGTTAGTTGTGTTCTAGAACAGTAACTACCACAGAAATGCATTAGTTTCATGAGTCATGCGGACATACATGGCCCGACAGGGTAAAGATCACACGCAGAAACATCAGTCAAAGCCAACAAATGCACTGAAAAACTTTCAGAAAACTCATTCTTTGAAAGTAAATGAATGAAGATTAAGACAATGTGACTTTGTCCCTGAAGTTGACTGAAAATGTTTCTCACATGGAAAAGCTATTTTTAAATCTTGATATTTCTTTCTGTATCTATCTATCTATATTTGATAAATTACCTGATATACGCCACAAGGAAGTATAGCACAGGTGCACTTCCTTCACTCTCTCCATGCTGCCATGACAACGCCAGTTCTGTGTCTGACACTGGGACCACTTTAGGCTGGGTCGGAGGTGCAGGAGGCATGCACTTTTCTACAAAATAAGAGAACAATTTCCTGTACATTGATTATTTCTGTTACTTAAAAAACCGGATGAGCGAAATGCACAGTAATGCTGATCAAAATGCATGTTTTGGGGTTTGTCTGCTCACCAAGAGAGCCAGTGCTGATGTCCCGGGGCATGCTGGGTCGGCCCTCCCCTGCCCAGCCGTACGCCCCCACACTGACTTTGAAAGTAAATGAATGAAGATTAAGACAATGTGACTTTGTCCCTGAAGTCGACTGAAAATGTTTCTCACATGGAAAAGCTATTTTTAAATCTTGATATTTCTTTCTGTATCTATCTATCTATCTATCTATCTATCTATCTATATTTGATAAATTACCTGATATACGCCACAAGGAAGTATAGCACAGGTGCACTTCCTTCACTCTCTCCATGCTGCCATGACAACGCCAGTTCTGTGTCTGACACTGGGACCACTTTAGGCTGGGTCGGAGGTGCAGGAGGCATGCACTTTTCTACAAAATAAGAGAACAATTTCCTGTACATTGATTATTTCTGTTACTTAAAAAACCGGATGAGCGAAATGCACAGTAATGCTGATCAAAATGCATGTTTTGGGGTTTGTCTGCTCACCAAGAGAGCCAGTGCTGATGTCCCGGGGCATGCTGGGTCGGCCCTCCCCTGCCCAGCCGTACGCCCCCACACTGACACGGTACTGCATGGCCACCTTCAGGTTCCCGATCACCACATCCTAACAGACACACGGGAACAGCTTAGCATGCAAGACAGCACCATATGGCATTAACAGAGAAACAGATACTGAACATCCACTCACAAAGCTGGCTTGGCCGTCAAACTGTCCCTGTAAGATGAAACAAAATTTCTGCTGAAGTCAAATTGTTCATTTCAACTGTGGTAAAGTTACACTGAAGCCTCGCAATCACTATACTCTGACAATTCATAGTTTATTATTCTATGTATTATTTATTATTATTTATGCATGTACACACTAACACACACACATTTATACTATACAACAATTTATTATTATTAATAATAATAATAATAACAATAATAATCTTAAAGCGATGGGACATACAGTTGTGAGCATTTCCAAACTCAATGGGACTTCCAGGGCAACAGCACTGCTAGTCGGACGATTATTCCTCATCTCCGTGTAAAACACCTGGTCAATAAAATAAATAAATATTTACATGAACACCATGTAGAATGGCCCATCATTGGTAAATCATTCCTGCGGTTACATATATACAGCACTAGTGTGGAAATCTGAGCAAAAATAAGAGAGCCTTGTAATCGCAATCTGGCAACAGACAGATACCTGATGGATTTTATCCCATAAGCAACCATAACAGCATTAACATGTTAACACAGAGATTCTTAGTAACCTAACAAGCAACCAGAGATGAATAGGATGAATACAAATAGGATAAAGGGGGAAAACCCAAAGCACTTCACTTCTTCACACATGTACAGTAGGTCAATTAGTAATCACTTCTGTCTGTAATTAAAGGAGAAGTGTGCCATTTCTGCACCACTAGTGGCAACGAATGGAACTTCAGTATGACTGGACCTGATGGTGAGCTCATATAAATATCAAAATCATAACACTCAATATGGTGGCTATAGTCCTGCCTTCACAAAGTTGTTTACTCAAGAACCATCCCTGGATTATTACAGTTAACTAAAACTAAAATCATAAAAAAGAAGAAAAAAAATCATTAACTGAAATAATATATATATATATATATATATATTTATTTATATACAATTCTTGATAAAGTATTTGACTAAAATAACTAAAACTAAAATAAGAAATCATAAAAAATTATACAGACATTTTTAAAATAAAATCTAAAAATTAAAAAAATTAATAAAAACTGTAATAGTATCTCAATGATATAAAATTAACACTAATAACGGACCTATTTTGGTGGAAAAAATGGTTTGTCTGACTAAATAAGTGAGCAGCAGTGTCTGTTATTTAGTTATCACTGTCATATGATAAACACTGGGAATCAAACTAAATATTGTAGAAACTTCATTTTCTGTAAAGTTGCTTTGCAACGATTTGTATCGTAAAAAGCGCTATACAAATAAACTTGAATTGAATTGAATCAAGCAATCAATATGTTATGCAATTAGCAGAGAGGCACCGATTTTTTTTTTTAACAGTTAAAGCACAATTTTATGATTTAAAAAGATGGCAGGATTTGTACCTTGTAGCCAGTGATAGTGCTGACGTGTCTACGGGGCATTTTCCACCGGACACTGAATGCAGTGCAGTTCACCGTCTCCAGCTGAATGTCCAGCGGTGGACTTAACCTCTCTGACAGCAACAACAGGAAACAAAATCAACATTTTAGCATTCATTTGTTTATGTACAGTAAACTCTTATGAACAAAGGTGCTTTCTTGGAATCTATGATTTCATGAAGAATCTTTAACATCCATAGAACCTTTCTATTGGACAAAAAGAGGGTAAAACGTTTCTTTAGAATATTAAAATGTTCTTCACACTAAGGGAAAAAAAAAATTTTTTAACCTAAAATGGTTCTTATATGGCACTGTGAAAACCCTCTATCAATAATTTAGCTTCTTCCAATGAAAAGGCATCTAGTCTGAATCAGGAGAGAAATATGCACAGATCAAGCTCCATTTATAAACAGTCCAAAATAGTTCTAAACAAGTATGTAGGTGGATTTTGATGTGCGATGGACTTTTTCAATGGAGGAAGCTTTATTATGGATTATGATTATATGTGACCCTGGAGCACAAAAGCAGTGTTAAGTTGCTGGGGTATATTTGTAGCAATAGCCAAAAATACATAGTATGGGTCAAAATTATAGATTTTTCTTTTATGCCAAAAATCATTAGGATATTAAGTAAAGATTATGTTCCATGAAGATATTTAGTAAATTTCCTACCGTAAATATATCAAAACTTCATTTTTGATTAGTAATATGCATTGCTAAGAACTTCATTTGAACAACTTTAA